GTCCTGGTATTGGAGAGCTACTGGCCAGACCTCGCCAACGAGATTGTGCAAACAAGATTGGGCGGCTTTGAGCCGTCGCCAAAGGAGAAGACGGCAGGGCAAGCTCTACTGGGATCATGTGCTCGCTCATACTTGCCGGCAAAATGCAAAAACCGAGCTTCGGGCGTTGCTATTGCGGGAGAAGCAAGACATGGCCTCCTTATCTTATTTCGCAGAGTTGGCTGCGGCTGATGCTCCAGTCGAGGCGCCCAAAGCCAGAAGTCGCCAGTTTGAAAGATACACTATTTGAGGCAACCTTAGCCATTTCCATTGCAGTTCTTGATTTTGTTTCTGCGCTGCGCCTAGGCTATCCAGATCCACTGGCTCCAGGTTACGCGAAAGAGTATCGCTCTTTCGATAACTGCTGCCTGGTGGATTCTTAACACTTCCGATTGCTATGAGTCCAGGGATGTTTGTACCCCCAGCATGGCCTACTATGCCTATGTGGCATTTACCTCATATGCCTCCTGTTGGACCGGGAATTCCAGGGATGCCTGTTGTGAATCCTGTCTTTCCTTACCCTGTACCCCCACCACCGCCTGTGAGTAACGTCTTTCCCCGGGAGGATGTACCTAGACCACCTCCTTATTCTCCACCAGAATCTCCTCGAGTAGTGGGGGCGCTAAACTGTACTCCAGAGGGAACGCCAATACCACCACCTCCACCAGTTGCGGGGGCGTCGGGGATGAGTTTGGGGATTTCGGGCGTTGCTGGGGNNGCAAGCGTGGCAGCGGGGGACTGGGTAGCTCGCATCAAGCCTTTGCTAATGACTTTATCCCCAACTGCGCATAAATGGTGGGAAGGAACTCATGCCAAGCCATATGAGTTTTACCAGCAGTGGCTCACGGGTCAACTGTCAGCTAGACTGGCGGTAAGGGCTCAGGTAGAGGCGTATCATGTTGATTCGGGGAAGTTAGCGTTGGTGAATGAGCGTGGGGCGGTTTTGTTGCTAGGGCTGGGTTGGCTGTTGTGGTCATAGGCCTCGGGATACGTTGTGATTCCAGGTTCTGGCCATTTTCACGACGTTTGTCTGATTGATGCACTTCGCGGCCATGGCTTCAAGATCCCCTATTTGGGCAGCGGGCCATACTGGGCAATTGCAGACGGGGCTACCATGCTCCGTCCCCATGGGCATCTGGGACCATGCAGAACCGCACACGCTTGATTGTGACTTGTGCTACTGCGCATGTACATCAACGAAATAATGAACTTAAACTGCTTGCTCAGATCAAAGGAGTTGAGGTGAGTCAACCTTGCAAGATGGCAGTAAGAAGGTGTGTGCATTAGGCGTGCTTGAAAACCATTGACTTTCTTGGGCTGAGCTGCTTGGCCTGACAGGCAGACGATCTCCGCCGTTCCCCTTGACTACGCCTGTGCTGGGAAGTACATCCTGGGCTACGCCAATCATTTTGTGGGCCTGCGGCGGACATTGGATGGGCTCGAGGTCAACTTTGGCCATCGGACTCACGAGTGGCAGAGGGCCGAGATATCCAACTCGCTGACTGTCCCAGTCACAACTTGCCGGACCACAGGCAAGGGTCCTTTGCAGGGAGCCGTAGTAGTCGAGCCATTCAAGCTACTTCTTTCTGGAAGTATATGGGATGTCTTGAGCAGGAACCGTCTTCGTGAATTTCGGCTTGGTGCAGGGGCTCTTCATGATCCATCCCATGTCCCACGGCCTGATTTTTTTGGCGGGAGATTATATAAGAGAAGCAGGAGGCAGAGTCAGCGCAAGGTAACTTCGGATTCAAGTCGTATGAGAGTCGCACGAAGCGTGGTGGCGGGCTTGGGGTGTAGTTTCTTAAGGACATCTGGCCAGGCGAGCTGCAGGGCTTTGGCAGAAGGCAGTGACATAAGGTGCGCGAGCATCGCTTCACTGCATGGTGATGTGTGAGTGTATAGGCGTGTGAGTGAAATGATGAAGAGGCTAATGCCTGAGAGAGAGAAAGCAGTGTGGTTTGCAGGCTTGCGCCCAATGATGTCCAGGTGAGCCACTGGAGGCGCGCACGGTAGAGCTGTTCTGAGTGAAGAGGTCAAGCGCTTTAAAGCTGGCTGTCTTTTACGAGGAAAAGGTGTGTCTGTGTGTGCACGTGCTTTCTGATTGGCAGGTCGCAGTCGCTTGTTGCTGTGCCCTCAGGGACACACATAGATGCGCAGGGCGGCAGCACATGTGATGCTCGAAGTGTGGAGGGAGAGGTGGACGGCCCGCCAGTGGCCCCGACAATTACAATGTTGCCTAACGCAGCGCTGCCAGCGCAGGCCTTGTTCGTAAAAGGTCGTTGGTGTGACGCCATATTCTTCTCGGGCAAAAGCTGGGAGATTCGCGGCAAGAACACTACCAAGCGAGGCCGCATATGTATCGCCAAGTCAGGCGCCAACCAACTCATTGGGGAAGTCACCGTCGTTGACAGCCTGCCCGTTGGGGTCCGCGACAAGTCAGGCGAGTTGCGTCCAGCAGACGAGACGCCGGGTGCTGCCCAGTTGTTTGTGAAACGCCCTGACAACTTCAAGAAACATTGCATCGAGGATTTTTCTGTCTTGAAAGGTTATAAAAAGTGCTATGCCTGGGTGCTTGCGAATGTAGTCAGGTATGAGGTGCCCCTGCCCTGGAAGCCAAAGCGCGGGCCGGTCACCTTTGCAAACATAGACATGGCGCAGGTAGCAAGCCGGGGAGGGAGCGCAGCTAAGGTCCGTGGTAGTCCCTTGCCTCGCAAGCGTCCTGCCAGGCATGATGCTGAGCTAGCG